TGTTGGCAACTATGGCTCTCCACAATTTTCTGTACTTTCTAGCTCTTAATAAATTTTGTCTTTTTGTTATCTCTCCTAAACCTTGTTTTTTCATCCATTTACTCAAGGTAGGTTATGCATTGTATTCCTCTGTCCCTCTAGCTTTCAATATGTCTTGTGAGTATCAAATTTTCAACACCCTCTTTCATCAGTATGTGCCCTAGAAATTTCCACTGTCTCTTCCTCATGTTAAGTACAAGTGTCCTTTTTGGTCCCATTTTCTTAGTATTTTTATTGAACAAAGTATTGAGAATTTAGATAATTTCTATTGACTTATTTCTCTTGGCTGTCTTCCAAAATTGTTTCAGAAGAGTTCCAGATATTCATTTTCAAAATATAATGAAGGAATAAATTCTTGAAAAATACAACAATACACAAAGTCAATAAAGATTAACATCTTAGATAAACCTCAAATAATCAAAGTGGAATCCACAGAATTAATTAAAAGATTATTCAAAAATATATTATTTTTACTCAATTCCAAATTTTTGCTACTTCGCCTTCAATGAATCAAGATTTCACAATGTTAAATATTCATACTGTTGAGTTTTCCAGTTCAAATAAAATAAGCTAAGCAGTTTGAATTTTGGTCATTCCATTTTATATAAGTTATTTCCTTATAATTTTCCAAGTGAGTAAATCCTATTAATATTCCCTTTCCATTTAAAAAAAATAAGTTTAATTTGGTTAACAAGATTATTAGTCACTAGTAAGGTGGCCCTATAGTGCCTAAAATAAGATGGCTTTCATCATTAATTTCTGAGACTGAACATGTTTTGTCATTCCAATGACTATAAACTTCATATTTGTTCTTAACATTTTTATGCTTGTTATGAATAAACAAATTACTTATCTGATGTTAAGTAATTTTGTGTATATATGTTAAAACTTCAACAAACATAACTCAGTACTTTGAGAAACTTCAAGTCTAATGGAACATACAGAGATTATAATCCTAAAAGATGACATAACAACAGTAATAACAAATATTACAATTTATACACATTAAATTGATTAACATTAGATTAAATTTTTGTTAATAATGACAACAGTTAATTTGTTGTGCACTCAAAAACTCTTCCTTTAGAGCTAATCAAAGTTTGTATCTATTTCAGTTAAATGCAAGTCAATCCCAGTCAGAGGAATACTGTAAGCAACCTTATACAATCTAAAATAAGATCTAACTTTAAATAATCCACAAAGGGTTGATAAGACATAAAAAACAAGTTCAATTAAATTCAATGCATCAATCACAAATATATATATATATATATTCTAACAACAAAAATATAATGAAAGATACATGAAATTCCAGCTTAATAAGTTACGTACACTGGCATAGCATGGATAGCAACATTGAATGTTTGGTAAAGTCATGCAAAGGCTTTGCATTGGCAACTAAAGTACCACTAATTAAGTTCTACCCATGGCCAGAAACTGACCGCCCATGGTCACATCTGCATATTGACTTTGCTGGTCCACTTAATAGGACGTATTATCTGATCATCATAGACAGTTTTTCCAAGTGGCCAGAGATATTCAGATGTAAGAAACGAACCACGCAAATAGTAATTCAGTTACTACACGAACTGTTTGCAAGGTTTGGAGTACTAGATTCTATTGTTTTGGATAACAGCACTCAATATATATCAAAAGAATTCGAAGAATTTTGCAAAATGTTAGTGGTAGGGCACATAAAAATTGCCCCTTACCACCCTAGAAGTAACGGCCAGGCAGAGCATTTTGTGGATACCTTCAAAAAGGCTCTTAAAAAGAACCAATGGTGGATCCACAGATACAGCAATTTTTACGCAAGTGTATAGATTTACACCAAATAGAAATGTGCCTTTGGCCATGATTCCAGCAGAAAGTATGTTTGCATGGAAAGCAAAATCAGTTTCTGACAAACTGATACTCAATAAGAAAAAACATTATCATACAGTACAAAAAAGCTGGAAAGAAATTTTACAAAATTGGTTAAAGGTTTTTTTACCGGATATATCAGACAAATAAAACATATTGGGAAATCGGAACTATTGTCCAAAGAATCAGCAGGATGGTGCATCTAGTCAAAGGACCAGAAATCGTACACAAAAGGCACTATAATCAAATAAAAATAGGTATTCAAGTGAAGAGAATAATACTCCAGATGAGGTTGAATCTTTGAAGGTTCTTTTTGATATATTTGATGTACCCATCCATCAGAAAGTTCCTGAGATAGAAGTCCAAAAAAGACATAGTAAAAGAAAAAGTAGGGAAATCTGTTTCCCTACTTTTTCTTTTACTATGTTTTACTATGTCTTTTTTGGATCAAAATCAACCCAAAAAAGAAAAAAATATTGACTCTATGCAGAGTAAATCCCAAAAGGCAGGTGTTATACCATACCTATGGACAATAATGGCTATGTCCCAATTCCTATAAATACAGTGGTATATACTGTATATTGTCTTCCATTTGGGATTCACCTTGATTCACTTCTAGCTCACCACTAGCAGTTGATTACTTACTACATGCCACTGGTAAATCTTGTATGTTGTTCCTGTTATAAATATTATCATTCCATTTCCAACCTTCATTTCGGTTATTCTTATTCAGTAACCTTTTCCTAGGTTACAACACTTAGTTAAGTTCAAATTCTTTGGTAGCACTTAGAGAGGGTGCTCTGATTAACAGTTGCATAATATTGAGGTACTTGTAGTGTCATGTCATGCATGAGTAAGTGTCTCTATATGTATTTCTGGTGGACAACTCTAAAGTCACATTATGTTTTAGTTCTCTTTCAATTCTACAATAAATGCCTTGATGTTTCTTGCTTGTTCAAAATCCTCTTCTGTAGTTTCAGTCTTTAAAAACACAGGTGAACAGTCTGATCCTTCTATTAGCCTTCTACCGCTTTTTAGCAAAGTATTAGAGGTTCTAATCTACACTGAATTAGTTTAGCATCTCACCTCACAGGTTCTTCTTTCAGACAATCAAAATGGCTTTCACTTCTATAAATCAACTGCTGATGTACTAACAATTATTGCTAAAAGAGTCTATCAAGCTTTAAATAAAAATGGTGAAACCCAGGCTGTTGCTTTTGATATATCAATGGCATCTGACAGAGTTTAGCATACTGGTCTTCTTCACAATTTGAAAGGTTATGCTATTTCTATACAAATTTTTGAACTGATTCAGTCTTTCTTATCAAATTGTGAAATGAATGTAGTTTTAAATAGCCACTCTTCTAGATATTTTTGCATTGATAGTGGCTTCCCCAGGTCTCTATCACTGGATCTACAGTGTTCCTAATTTTTATCAATGACTTTCCTGATCACATCAGTTCTCAATTCTGTATCTATCCTGATGACAACTATTTATTCCTGTCTGATCAGTTTGATGAGCTCAAATTGGCAGCTGATCTCAAAAATGATCTATATTAAGTTGTTAAATGGGGAAAAGAATGGCTTGTTAATTTCACTGTCTCTGAACTTGAACTGCTCTCTATTAATCGTCTGCTGAGAGAGCTCTTTCTGCCTTCCATAAGCATAGCTGACATTAACCTATGAGTGACTCATTGTACTTTCTCAGATTAATGTTTTATGCTGTCATGAAGTGGAAAGATTATATCAAATCAATTTCTAAGCCTGCTGCTAGGAAAGTTGGTTCACTGTGTTTTGCTAGACAATTGCTCGCACCTAAATCTATCTTGCATATTTATAAGTCTAGCATTTATCCGTGATTTGAATATTGCTGGTTCAGTGCTCCAGCTATATATTTAGAGATTCTAGATGAAATCCAAAGAAGAATCTGTAATGTCTCACTGGTCCTGACTTGGTATCTCATTTTCCCACTAATGTAATGCCTTTCTAAAAATAATTTCATGATAATTGTTCTGATGAATTTTCCTCTATGGTACCTAGACTCTATGAATTTAAGTGCAGTACTAGATTGGTGGCAAGGTCTCATCATTTTACAATTGAAATGGCTAGATGTAACCACAAGTTCTATTTCATTTATTGCACTTTACACTTGTGGCATTCTCTCCCAGTTTCTTGCTTTTTAGTCAAGTTTGATCTTCTAAAATGTAAAAGAAATGTCAAGCATTATTATTTGTCTTCTTAATTCCTGTTCTTTTATTGTTCTCATTTTTTAATAATATTTTTATTTTTCTTATACACTTTCATACACAGTAACCCCCTGCATCTTTATTGCCTTGTTTAAAGATGAAATTATTTAAAAAAAAATAGAGTCATAATGGCTGGGATGAATGGATAGCATAATTGTTAACAGAATAGAATAAAATCAACAAACTAAGTCCACAGCTGCAACAATTTGCATTCACTTTATGCTAATATCCTCAAGAAAGTCATGAATCTGTTTCTCCCTGTTTCTCCACTTCATAACTAAACAGTAGGGCATTTGGAGCCAGTAATGTAGTCTATCTTAGGTTTCATATTTGACTTGATACTGAAACTGAGAAAACATTACCTGGTATGGTTATTGCTTTATAATTCACAAGTAGTTTGCAGGAATAAACAAGTCCTACTATTTTTTTTCCATGCCAGAAAGAGTTTAAAACAAAGACATCAGATTTTGGCAATGATCATCCCCTTATTAGAATTATATCAACTTCTCTAAATTAAATGTATAAACAAATCTGAATTTTAAATTATCATTTTACAAATTTCCACAAACATAAATCAGCAAATAGCACATGTATTTTAGAAAATTTTACATATAAATTAGTAAATAATTTTTGAATTTATATCTTACATGAACTTAAGTGAATTACAAACAAATATCTTCTACATTATCTTAACCAAGAAATTGGGAAACTAAATTTCCCCATCTTTGATATTCAATCATCATAAATACTCAAAAAATATGTGGTAATAATAACTCAATAAATTTAGGGACTTCAAAAGCCATTTTAATTCTAAAATTTATTCCTTAGAGAAAAAATAAATAAGCAACTTACTTGCGGCGAAAATCTTGTTTAATTTGTGATTCTAAAATCCCAAAGATACTGTACCAAGCAAATTGTAAAAGTGTGAGGTACCAACCAAATGGACGAAACCCATCCAACCGAAAAATGAGTTCCTGGGGAAAAAAATATATAAATAAATTTTTATAGAAAAAGAACTGTTGTTTATATAAAAAAAAAAATCTGAGGATTTAAAACAAAAACAATTTCAAAATACAACCGTTTCCTTTTATCAGAGGTTTATAAACAAAAGATTTGATTTCCAACTTTTAAGACAAGAAATGACATTAAATAATTACTGGGGAACAAATTTTAATTTTTTGTCTATTGAATTAGATTTGACAGTTCTATGTAAGTTGTGTTTGCTGAGCATAAATTTGTACTCATTTTTGCTCTATCAGGTTCTGATTTTGCTCAACACCTCTCCTCTTTTGTTGTATTCACAAAAAGTTTTTTTTTCTCAATACTCGCTAAGTCTTTTTGCAGACACATCATGCAACTAGGTTCTTATCTAGGTATTTGTACTTATTGTTATGGTATTATGTTATTGTTGTATTATGTATACTTTTATATGTAACACCCTAAATAATATTTTTAATTTTTCATTTTAACCCATTTTAATATTAGTAAGTTAAGCTAAAATATCATTGAATTTTCTCGAGCGTTCCTGTTTTCTGTAAAATATTCCAGATGGACAACTAAAATATATAAAAGCAACTCATTTTCATAGTTAATCATCCAATTCAATTACGTCTGGGCATTAATATAATTTTGAATTAGCATATGAATTAATAATTTTGTCATCATGATTTAATAGTTGATTTTATTAGATATAATTTATATTGTACCAACATCTATGTTTCTAATTTAGTTTCATAGATTGTAAGTACCTATTTCATAATAAGTTCCTATTTAAAAAAAAATTTTGTGTTTATATTTCAGATTTTCATAAATTTATATGAATTAATACCTTTACAAATTGGCAGAACAGTTAAGCAATATGTCATCAAGCACAAGAAAATTAAAATGCAAAAACAACCCTGATTCCTTTTGTTTTATATGTGGAAATTTTACATTTCCATATCAACAAGCAGATATAACTTACTTTGTAAAAGTGTTTACTTAACTTATTTTGGCATTAAACTAGGGGCTCAGATAAATTGTGGTTTCCACACAAAGACTGCACTATATGCATTGAAAGACTACGAGATTGGACTAAGGGTTCAGATTCAAAAATAGTTTTTGGAGTTCCCATGGTAAGTTTATGATTTCATAAAACTACGTCATTTAATCACTAGTATACTGTAACTTACTTAAACCGAGTTGTAACTTGGGTACATAAACAAAAATTTACAAAAAATGTTTATAAAAATCTCAAATGTTGCATAAGGTTAAAACACATTATCTTTGGGTGATAACTTTTTTTAAATTCTACTACTACAAGACCAATTTCTACTTTTGTTTTGTCAAAACTGGGTTTCACTAAGAAAAATAAACATTGTATCAAGTACCCAAATTTTGACACTGCAATACAACCTGTGCTACATTCATGAGATTACCATTCCAAAATTTATGGGTTTGCCACTCAAGAATTAGTTGAAGATGTTCCTGAAAATATTGTTATGCACTCTGAGGAGTAAGACATCGATTTTGACCGTAGCATATTTGAAAGTCAAAACGATCCACAAATGTTTAACCAGGCCAAGTTGAATGATCTAAATTTTCTGAAAAAGGCTGCAGAAATCTAGCTTCAAAATTAAAAGAGAAAAACTTGTTTACTGCAAACACATACACAGTTTATTTTACAGAAAAAGAAGAAAATCTTAAATATTTTAGAACAGAGGATAGTTTAGTACACTGCTGCAATATACCTAGTTTGTTAAAAAAAGATGGAGGTTGATTCCTACAATGATTGGTGCTTGTTTTTAGACAGTTCAAAAAGAAGTCTTAAATGTGTGTTGTTGCATAATGGCAATCTATACAGCTCAATACTAATTGGGCACTCAACAAAATTAAAAGAAAAGTATGAACATATAGAAAAGGTTTTAAATCTTATCAAATATATTGAGCACAAGTGGATCATGTGTTGACTTAAAAATGGTTGATTTTCTGCTAGAACAAGGAGGGTATACTAAATATACCTTCTTTTTTTATGGGACAGCAGAGCCAAGGAAGAAAATTATTTCAAACAAATCTGGGCAACACAAACATCACTTACTGTCGAAAAAAAATGTAATTAATCCACCTTTAGTGAACAGAGATAAAATAGTATTTCCTCTACTGTGTATCAAACTAGGCCTTGTAAAACAATATGCAAAACCTTTACATATAAACAGCGGGTGTTTCAAATATATAACTTCAAAATTTCCAAGTTATGAAAACAATCAAGGCGGGAATTTTTCAACAGTTCACAAATAAGAATATTAAACACAGCAATTTTCCTAATGTCATAAATGAATGTGAAAATTATGCCTGGTTCTCATTCATGGACTTGATAGAAAACTTTTTAGGCAATTATAAAGCAGATAACTATGAAGAAATCATAAAAAAATGTTAAGGGACTACAAAGAGTTAGGTTGCAATATGAGCATAAAAATGCATTTTTTGAATAGCCATCTTGACCAAGATCCAAGTAATTTAGGTGATGTAAGTGATGAAGGGGAGAGTTCCACCAAGACATCAAAATTATGGAGGAACAGTACCAAGGCTTCTGTGATTCGCATATGATGGCTGATTACTGCTGGTTCTTGAAAAGAGACCTGCCATCAACAAGCATACATGCTAGAAAGTTTTGTAAGCAAGTAATCAAGCTAAAATGTTGAGTGCTCAATACACTAAGTAGAGCTGGGAAAAATTAAAGTAAATTCTAAAGAGCCAGGAACAAGTTTCACCGAAACAGATCTTCAGAGTAATCTGGCTAAAGAGGAAATGACACAAAACAATAATGATACAACCACTAAAAACTTATTAGCATAAAACCATGTGACAGAAGAAGATAGAAAAAAAAACCCCACAGAGCCTCTATTCCAATAACCAGGATTTCCTATGCCTACACCTATTTAAAATCTCAGTTCTTTGATTTAATAAATTATTAGGTTCATCAGAGGAGGCTATTGCTAATTTTTCCTCCATACATAATAAGCAATACTTGTCCCCTGCTTTATACTTAGGGTATTCTTTTAAATATTTCCCCATTTTAAATACCATCTTCCTGTTTAATATTCCATATGTATATAGACAGGCTAGTGTTGTGTTTGTAATTTTCATGCTTGAAAGCTACTTAAATGATTATAGTAATGCTTTCTGAAAATTACATTGGGTGGATCCTATATAAACATTCTTATTCCTATTATTAGGTTTATAACTGTGTATTTCAATCGTAACCACACATTCTTGTTGCACCTGCCTTTAAGTGGGCAAGCGTCCTTATTTCTACAGTTACATTTACGGGGATTGGAGTGTGGTTTGGTTATGATTTTTTTCCTGTTATATTTATTAAGTTAGCTATGTTTGGCATACAACTACAGCTTAATTTAACATAATATCTGTTGAAAATTCTGTACAATACGTTTATTGGGGGGGGATTCTTTTTTAGTAATTTAAAAATTATTTTTCTTAGTTTTTCCTCCTGTGTTTCTCCACATATTTTGGGTGTTCTTCAGATGTTGGTTACTACCTGATCATTCACTGTATATCATTGGATCAATTTTTCTCCACATTCAATTCCTAGTCCAAATTTGTCAACTATTTCACCATCTCTCTCCTTGCCTACTTTGGCATTCAGGTTTCCTATGACAATTGTAATTTCCTGATTTGCATTGCTCTTTAGCGTTGTTTATCATACAGTAAAACTTTTAAGTTTCTTCTTCCTTACTTTGTGCTGTCAATGCATATACAACTATGATGGATATGTTAAAAGACTTCACTTTCAGTTTAACTATATGAATTCTTTCAGATAGTCAATAGCATCCCAAAACACATTTCTTCATATCTTGATCTAAGTCCTACTCCCCTTTCACTTTTATCTCTGCCTGCATATATAACCAGTGTTCATCACTGATAAAGTCTTCATTGTTTGCCCACCTAATTTTGCATAAGCCTAACATTTTAACATTTTAACCTATTCATTTCCTGCTTTGTTTTCTAACTGGCCACATTAATCTAGTGTTCTGAAATTAAAATAAAATTAGAGGTGCTTTCAAAATTGAAACTGGCATCAACATAAACACAAAGAATTATTCTAAGTTCTTAGATAATTTTTGAGAGGTATACATTATAACCAGGAGGCTTTAAGCTAAAGAGTATAGTTATGCAATATCATACTCTTTCACATTCTGCAAAACGAACTTGAGATAAATTGCCAAAAGGTTTCAAAGCACCAAATTACTAGAATGCTCTCCAATAGAAAACTTGTGATCCATCATTAAAAGACTGGCATATTAAAATGGAAAACAATATTCAAACAAAGAAATCTGAGAAGTAATAGAAAATACTGCAAATAATGTTAAGAAAAGTTAACAAAATCAAGTTATAGAATATCAAGAACATGTAAAATAAAATAATGATTTATTCAGGTCCATGGGATACTGTGTTAATCAAATTCATTTCTATGGTCAATATGTTTATTAGGAGGAAATTCTTTTTTAGTAATTTAATTACTAAAAAAAAATTCAAAATTTGGATTTAAATTGCATTTACTTTACTTGTACAATAAAACCAAACAAGCATAAAACAAGTTATTATCAACATTTTTAATAAGAACAGACATTGTAACCAAGATGCATAGGATATATTGTTCAAATAAGTATATTCTATAGTTAAGACACAAGTTATATTAAGTTCATATTTCAGTGTGTACTATATGACTCACTCATGATGGTGCCAGAACAGACTTTGCACTTAGTGTAACATCAGAGAAGCCAGGCACATTGAGAAATAACCTCCTAGCCACCAAGTGTAAAACCCTTCCTCACAGGATGTCAGTACCTGACCCCAAAAAGTAATAAAAAGTCAACCCAGCTGTACTTAGGATGTGCCCATGTGAGAAAAACCATATGACACACAGATGTGTAAAGATTTACTTAGGGAGAGAAAGAAGACAATCTCAGACATCTAC